TGTTTTCCTAGTCCTAGACCTGGCCTATACCCCATATTTTGCATAATCTGTTGAGACGCCGGGGAATAGTCATTACTAAGAGTGAACCCCATGTCTTTCATCAGATCACGACCCCATAAAGAGATAGGTAAATCAAGTACATAAGGCTGAAAAGTGCCATTGTGTCCTTCTGGGTCCTTCCAAGATAGATGTCTACAGCTGATTTGAGGGGCTTGGGCATATCCCAAACCTCTCAGTGATTGATCTGAGAGCTGCACCGGCCACCCCTTTGACCAGTCCTTTTGTGCAATTATACTACGATCTGCTCCAGTATCGAGCAATCCCAAAATTGATTTGCCTTCTATGGTTAAGTTTAAAGTAGGACGGTCATTCATATCTAAGGACAAATAAACAGAATTCCCTCCAGTAACTCCAATCTCATCACTTGTCCTTGAAAAGGAATCAGCAGAAAAGCGGGTATGCAGGCTGGGTAGAAGTAACAATTGGGCAATCCGGTCTCCTGGGGAAATAGATACAATGCCCCTTGGAGCTTCCACCATAACTTTTATTGTCCCTACAGTATCAGGGCTAATAACTCCAGGAAAGACATGAAGACCTTGCAAAGTAGAAGATGCACGTCCAATTAGCAAACCTACAGTGCCAGGCGGTAAAGGCCCTTTGAACTCAGTTTCCACCAATTGGACTCCCATCTTAGGTGTTAATACGAGTCTGGAGGTGGAACAGAGGTCCAATCCCGCGGCACCTGTAGTGGCTCTCCGCGTCTCATGGGATGGCGTAGAGATGGCCATGTCTCGGGTTTGGGTGTGACATTCTCCATTGCCCCATATATTTGTGGGCCCTGGGGTCGGGGGCCCCTTCGGCCGTTTTTTGGCCCAGCTGAAATAGGCTGTCCATGGATGTCCCTCATTGATCTACACTCTTTTGCCCAATGCTTCCCTTTTTTACATTTTGGACACAGCCCTGGTTGACGAAAGCCATTGGAAGGGCCACCGTGAGGGGGTCCAGTAAAATTATCTTTTTTAGGACATTCACGTCTGAAATGACCGGGCTGACCACAATGGAAGCATGTTCCGGCACCAGGATTGCCCCCTTTTGCCACCCGAAGGACAGCAGCTGCAAGACCTGCATTAGTTAAAGGTCCTCCAATCTCTCTACACACTTTCATCCATGCTTCTATGCCCTTATTTTTATAAGGAGTGATTGCCGCTTTACATTCCTTGGTGCATTGTTCAAAGACCAATTGCTTGATAAGGGGCATGGCTCTATCAGGATCCCCAAAAATCTTTCCAGCAGCATCCACCATCCTTGCTACAAAATCTGAAAAAGGTTCTGTAGGGCCTTGTAGAATCTTGGTCAAATTGCCAGACACCTCTCCTCTATTTGGAAGCGACTTCCATGCCCGAATACAAATATTGTTAATTTGATCATATGCCTCAAGAGGAAATCCTGTCTGTTGATTTGCAAATCTACCCTGTCCCAAGAGCATATCCTTGTCCCAATGGGGGCGTCCCGCTGCATGGTTTTGGGCGGCCTGCTCTATTGCGCCCTCTAGCACGAATGCTCTCCAGTCCAAATATTTACCCGGGGAAACGCAAGCCCGAACAAGGCTAGCCCAATCAGAGGGAGTCATACAGTATCTAGACAGATTTTCCACCTGAGTCAGCGTGAAGGCGGCATCCACCCCATAAGTGCGTACAGACTCCGCCAGGGTCTTCACAATTTTAAAATCTAAGGGTTCATGGACTCTTCCCCTGTTGTCATCCTGAAAAACTGGATAAGCAAGACCCATCTCAGCGTGAACAGCCCTCCATGTTTGGGCATGGAAAGCTCTTCCCGAAACGCCCCCGCCATCCGGCGGTGGATCCGGGGGATCGCTTTTCTTGAGCCCTTGCTTATCTGTGTTCCCTTCTCCTACAGCTAAACTCCCTAGCTGACGAGACAGCCTCTCGAGCTCTTCCTCCTCATCCTCCTCCTCCTCTGACCCACTTTCGCATGGGGGTGTACGCAGCGTACTGAGATCTGGATACAACCGTTTCCTCCCCCGTCTCATGCTCTGCACACTCCCATCCTCCCGAGTCGCTTCACTTTCTGCCATCTCCGATTTTTCCTCATGCAATCGCTCTAAAACCTCCTGTCCTTTAGTAAGTGCTTCCTGACATCTATCATCTGTAAGGCAACTACGGACCATTTTCCAAAGGGGTATCACCCCACCCTCTAATATGCCCTGCTCAGAAGCAAAGTCAAGATCTTTGCCTAATTTATCCCAACTAGGCACAGTAAGGCTGCCCGAAAATGCGAACCACGGTGCAGCGATATCTATCTTCTGTAAAAATCTCTGTAAAGTACTATGTTTCACTTCCAGTCCCTTGGAACGTAACAGGCCATCTAGGGCCAGGAGAAGCGGACTTGAAGATGCGGCACCCATGACGCAACAACAAAGAAAGCACAAAAAAAAGAAAGCGAAAGTAGGAGCGAAAGTACACAGTGCAGCTGCAATAAAATATAAGGCTCTCTCTTTCATTACAGAGGAGCTGTCCCGCTTTGGTCGCGGATCCCACTTACTAGGGACTAACCCCGCTTTGATCGCGGATCCCACTTATTGGGACTAACCCCGCTTTGGTCGCGGATCCCACTTACCTGGGACTAACCGGTGCACCACCCCTGACTGTTGAAAGTTCTGGTTCCCGGGTCTCGGCGCCACTTGTCGCGACCCCCTTGCCCGCAAGGAAGACGCAACTCGAGAATCTTCTCTCAACAGTTTTATTCAGGTCCCTGGATATTTCTTCTTCTTCTCTCGGGTGCCCCTCCCAGCCTTAATAAAGCATCCCAAGCCCCAATGCAAAGCTGCCGCGTGGAACTTTCTCACAGGGTGGTGAAAAATCATGTGCCAACTTTCCCAGATAAGAAATTGTTTGTCACAGACCACAGCGGAGCCAGCGCCATCTTGTAATGGCGACCATAATCTGCAGAAACGGCAGAAGCGGCTCACCACAATATCATATTTCTTCCATTTCATCTTCCTTTATATTGTACTAAAACTGAAATCGTAGTTGAAAATGTTACTGCATTTAAAGGTTACAATCATCATTTTTTTAAAATTTAAATTGTTTGTTAATATTTTGATGTTATTTTCCTTCACCTGTTTCACAAAGAGATATTTTCTCTTTGATAACATAAAAAAAAAAACTATTTTACTTTTTCTCTGCTTCTTTTGGAAAACCTTTCTTCAAAATCCCAGTATTCACAATCCATATGTTCCACCAATGTGCATATTGCTATATTTTTGTTATCACATATATCTGTGTTGTTATTGGTTTTCTAATAGGTAGGGTTGGGGCTCAGTGGTAGAGCACTTGTCTGGCACATGTGATCCTGGGTTTGATCCTCAGCACCATATAAAAATAAATAAATAAAATAAAGATGTTGCATCCATCTACAACCAAAAAAAAATAAAAATAAATAAAAATAAAAATAGAAAAGAAAGTAAGAAAAGATCCAACAAAATGATTTATACTTCATTAAAATTTATTTGCTATCATTTGTCTTTCTCTCTCCCTACAATGGTGATTGAATTCATATCTCTTGTCTATATATTGGGACACGTTGACATGCAGTCTTCCCCAAATAAATATCTTGGAGCCACCTGATTATACAGCTCTGCTGTGAAAGAATGATCTCTATTAACTATTTATCCTGCCCTTGTACATTCAAGTACATTTCATTTAATAAACAACATAAAGGAAAAATCACTTTCCATCAGTCCACTTTTTTTTTTAAAGTTGGTGCATCTCTATTACACAGAATGCTGGGTTTCAATGAGGCATGTTAACAGATATATAAAACACAATTAGGTGAATTTCATGCCTCAGTATTGGCTCTGTCATCCCCTCCATCTTCTCTGAATCCTCTCCCTCTATCTTACTGGTTAACCATGTACTTTCATGTTGTTCTACCTGATTTTTCCCTCTAGTCTCCACATATAAAGGAACATATAATAATTTTCACATGAGTCTGGATTATTTTGCTCAAAATTATGGTCTCCAGTTTAACCCAATTTTTTGAGAATTACACAATTTTGTTCTTCTTTATAGCTCAGTAAAACTCCATTGTATTTATATGCCATATTTTTGTTATATTCTTCGATGTACACCCTGGCTGGTTCCATAGTTTGGCTATTGAAAATTATTAATTGATATACATGGATATGCATGTTTCTCTAAAGTATGTTAAATTTAACTCTTAAAACATTATCCCTGGGGCTGGGGATGTGGCTCAAGTGGTAGCGCGCTCGCCTGGCATGCCTGCGGCCCGGGTTCGATCCTCAGCACCACATACAAAACAAAGATGTTGTATCCGCCGATAACTAAAAAATAAATATTAAAATTCTCTCTCTCTCTCTCTCTCTCTCTCTCTCTCTCTATTAAAAAAAAAAAAAAAAACATTATCCCTGCCTATGACATTTGGTAATAGTGGGGGTTCTGTAGCTTAAGAGAAAGGTATGACCGCCATTTTTAAATTTTCACTTCATGTAAAATTCTCTGTGTAAACTTCTTCATTACATAACTGAATTTAAAATGTCATCATACAAGATTTGTTTGGTATAATATCAAAAAAAATGCTCAGTAATAAAATTTTTTTTTCTGAAAAACACTTTCAATCTACTCAATTTCTAAGGTAAGATCAAATAGATTTCTGTTCCCCTGAATAAATTACAGATTAAATAATTATTAAAATTGTAAATTAACATCAGAGTTGACTATAACAAAGTCACAAATTTGCCCTTCCATTAAACAGGAATATCACATGTATGTACACACATATACTACTCCATCTCAGACCCATTAGTGCAATTGTCATTTTACTGCTAATTCTTCAGTTCCTGATTTGTGACATTTATCAACAAATGATTTGTCTTCATTACTTCGAAAACAATAGTGCTCCTGGTAGGCAAGTAAATGTTTTCAGCTGCATACAGTTGGATGGACATTAAATATTACAAGTCAATTATGTTTTTCTTCTAAAATTACTTTTTGACACCAAACTTTTCTCATAGCCTTTTTCATCTCTGTGTTCCGCAAGGTGTAGATGAGGGGATTAAACATGGGAGCAATAATGGTGTAAAACAGAGCAAAGATTTTGTCCTCAGGGAAAGTGTTAGGGGGTCTAAGGTAGGCAAATATGGAAGGTCCAAAGAATAAGATGACCACAGTGATATGAGACCCACAATTAGAGAGGGCTTTGCGTCTCCCCTCTGCTGAGTGATTTCTCAGTGTGAATAGAATGACCACATAAGACCCAAACAAGAGAATGAATGTTACCAAGGCAACCAGTCCTGAATTGGCAACCATAAAGACACCAGTGAGGTAGGTATCAGTACAGGCAATTTTCAACAAAGGAAAAATGTCACAATAGTAGTGGTCAATTGTGTTGGGACCACAAAAGGGCAACTGGATAATCATACAGAACTGGGAAAAGGAGAGGACAGCTCCACCAGCCCAAGCAGCCAAGATCAGGACATTGCACCTGGTTCTGCTCATGATTATCTTGTAGTGCAGAGGTTTGCAGATGGCGACACAGCGATCAAAGGCCATGGCTGTCAGGATTAGTACTTCAATCAATCCAAAGAAGTGCATCACAACAACCTGCCACATGCAGTAGCCATAGGAGATGGTGTTTCTTCCCACTAGCTGGTCACCAATCAGTTTGGGTGTCACAAAGGAGGTATAGCAGATGTCCATAGAAGATAAGTGACTGAGGAAATAGTACATGGGTTGGTGAGAAAGAGAACTGCATCCAATAGAGATGAGGATCAGAAGGTTTCCCACCAAGATGGAAAGATAACAAAATAAGAACACTAGGCAAAATATTTGAATGTTTTGGTCAGAAGAAAGGCCCATGAGAATGAATTCTGATACATTCCTCTGACTTTCCATATTTTGCTTGCTCTGTGTAAAAATATGAGTACCTGTGGAAAAGTAATTAGGACAAAATTATTTGCAATTGGATCCCAATCCTGTAAACCCTATTGAGTACTAGAAGCCAGACTAACACATCACAAAGTGAATTGATAAATCAATTTATCAATTATATTTGTACTTGTGATTTATAACTTATTTCTCTCATAGTTATTTTTAATTTTTTTCCATGTTCTGTCATTTTGGTAATACTAATAATATATTTTGTTAATTTTTTAAATGTAAGATTTAAAATTTTCATTTACCTAAAAGATGTTCTACTGATATTATTTATGACATTTAGAAGCAGGAAAATAATTTAGTTTGATGTAAAGCACTGTTTTATAATTCTAAGTATGTTCTTCTTTCATGACTGTGTTTTCACTGCAGGCAATGCTTTCTTTCCCCGGCATGAAATAGAACAGCTCTCCATATTGTCTGCAGATCTGTGTTCAAGGAATATATTTGCATTTACTTTAAAATCTAAATTGTGATCTGTGTGATTGGTGGGATATTCCTTGAAACTCTAGAGATTGTGGGCACTGCATATTAAACATAAGATAGCAGATTTGCTGACTATACAACAACAACAAATAGATAAATATGTAAAACTTAGAAAAAAGGAAATGTATGTTTTTCTGTTAAAGACTGACATTTATAAAAATCATAAGAAAATCTATCTTATTTAAATTTAAGTGTAAAACAGGATATCTTAAGGCAAATTCAAGAATCATTAATATCAATGTTATAAATAAACAAACAAAAGCTAATTTAAATTCACAGACAATTTGATATCTGTATAAGGTATTCTTCTGCTAGTATGAATTATGAACAGGTAGACTCAATAACAAATGTTACACAATGTAAAGGCAAGTTGTGTTCAGGGAGTTCTCAGCTATTATGTGTTGCCTGGATTACTCATGGATTCACATATTTTATTCTTTGTAGTATCAAGTTTTGAATCACAAAGGCAATAGAAGATTGAAGTAGAGATGACATATACTTATGCCATCTCTTGTCACTGGGGAGGAATTAGATGGCTTCCAGGTGTACTTTCTACATTACTCCTAAATTAAATGTGGCATCTCTATCTGATCCTACAGATACCATTTTTTTAATATCACAGAAAGTGTTAATGCAACATATGGAATAATAAGATCAGCACTTTCAAAATCATGTAGCCGTATTACTTGTGGTTCTTAAGACTATTGCAACTGGTAAGAATTATAGTTCTAAACCACATTGCATAACATATTAAGTTAAGCTTTCAGTTCGAGCTGAATACATTTGATTACATTAACAGGGGAGAGACACACCATGGTCATATTCTTTCAATTCTGTAATAATTCATACATTCCCTCTTCTATGTGAAGACAAGTCTTATCCTTGAAATTGTGTACATGTTAGTACCTCAATAACATTTTTTACTTAAATATTTTGTCACAAAAAATGAAAATGATGTTAAAACTGAAAATAACATTACATTCCTTTTATAAGTATACATAACACAGAAGTGATCTTGAAAATAAATTTTACATAAGTTTAACTCTTAGAATAAATTTAGCAGTAAAATACCCATCATATTTAACTATATTACTTTCTGTATAGAGGAACTAATTAATAAAAACAGTGAATTCCCCAGTTCAAATATTTAATACATTTTGAAATAAGAAAAAAAATACATCTCCCAATTATTGTTTAGTTTCCTTCCATAAGGGGTTGTATCTGATATACAGCAGTGGGGGAAACTACCAAACACTGATTCCACAAGATCACTGACAGATATACCCCTGAAGTTATAATGATAAACTTGTGGTACAAATTGCTTTGCTTTGAAATTGTTATGCAGCAGCAGCCTTTCAATTTGACAAGTATAAACAGCAATGTTCCAACCTGCATACTTATGGAAATGAGCTACCATCACTCTTGGAAGAGCAGGGAGAAGAGCAACAGGAACAACTTCTCGTGAAAGGAAAAATAGGGAAAGATATGACATTGTGACATTAAAAAGAAACTAATTTTTCAGGTGTTAAATATGCAGATGAAGAGGAATACCTCATTATTTAAAGTGTGCATGTTATAAATCAATAAAATAAACATTAGAATTTAGAGAGTACAATAAAATAAAAGACAAATCATTTTTTTTATTAACGTTACTTTGCATTGGTAAACTTGTGAGCTAATAAGCAGGACATTGGTCACCTAGATACCTCTAATATCTATGTGTTTGCCATCATTTAGAATAACATGAACTGAAATATGGCGCCTATGTTTTTTTGTCTTCAGTCTTAGATATTTATGTTTTATAAAGAATGTGGCATCAAGGCAAAACAGGCTTTCCAGATAAGAAGACAATAGTCAATGACCCACTGTGGATTTATACAATATGTGAATATTTTTCCCAGCAATTGTTTATATATTTCACTCTCTGTTACCATTTACAATGACATTTAGAAATCATACATAGGATTATTTTTAATTTTTCCATACTTCACAAACATTGTACTCAATTTCACAAGGTACTTTGACATTTATTAAGCTATCAAAATAAATATATCATTTGGAGAAATAACAAGGCAAACAGGAGATTCTAATGCCTAATCTTGTGATAGAATAAAAGTTATTCAACCAAGAATTACTTACAAAATTGTGATCTTATGTAAGAATGCTTCTCCTCTAGCTTCCCCAGTGCTTACAAATATTAAATATATACTTCATTATAGGTGACATCAGAATTTGCCTTTATAAACTTACTTTACCCAATTCCAATAAATCTAGATATTTTTTGAATAGTCGTCCTTTGAAAGGTGAGAATTATTCCAAAGATCAAAGGCTGGAAGACCACTCACAACATGAAAATTTCATTCTTTTAAAGGTGGTATATAAAATGCAGTCCCTGCCCCACAATGCACACTATAGCCAAACAATGCAAAAACTGCATTTTACTCTGGAATAAATTTGGATAGGCCACATATGAATAAATACCCTTAAAATTACAAGAGCAAATGGTAAATAAATCTAGTGACACAGAAACACTGATTCTAACAGGGATTACCTGAACATCAGTGTGGATGATCTTCAAGTTAGTTTTATGTTACTCCTAAAAATATCCTGGACATACATTGACCTTCTTGAGTAATACAGTTTGCTTTCTTTCCCCTAACATTTACAGCTGAAATGAAAGGTAGAACTATAAATCAGTGAATCAAATAAATTTGCCATTTCTTGGAAAATATCTTCAGAATTGCTTTCCTCTCATGTGTAAGAGGGAAAGCCCATTATTTTGCAAGGGAAAGTAAGTTTAAATCCCTTTAAAAATTGCCCTGGATTCACAGGGAAGTATCCATTTCACAAGAAAATGATCTAGGATTTAAATTGCCACACAGCTCTCTCGCACCTGCTAATGCTCCAAGATAAATAAAATCATTATGCCTATATATAAGCTCTATGAGTCATCTCCTTTACACCCACATCTGAAAAAAATTGCATTGCATGAGCCAACTATAAAAGGAGAATAGATCATAGTTGTTTTTTTTAAATTATAAAAGCAATGAGAAATTGTTTTCCCAGAAGGACTTCGCAAAAGATCTTCATTTTAAAAAAATACAGCTTCTCACATGTCTGACGTCATATTCTCAAATTCTCCTGAGAAATTTAAGGTGTCAAATTTATTTTCCATCACAGCAATAGCCACTTTCTGTGCACTGTGTCTCTGGAAGTTAGGACTGCTACTCAGACCCAGAGCAGCTCTGGAATTCAATAAGTTCTCATTAACCTTTCCTAAGAATATGAGGAAACTTGGGTAGCCATTTAGGACCATCGGGTTTCCATTGGAGAGAAAAGAGAGAATAAAAATAGATAGACAGACAGATAGGTAGACAGACAGAAGATAGATAGATGAATAGAGAGATGACAGAGACAGAGACACAGAAAATAGAGAGAAAGAGAGATATCCAAAATCTCAAAAGAGACACTAAGGAAAAAAGCTCAAATGCATTAGAGTAAATTAATAAGTCAATGATTGGCTGCCCCACGGTTCTCCTGGACCAGTGGCCATGCACAGCAATCAACTGTTATTACTGAAAAGGGTTGTTTGGGGTGTGAGACACAAAGGGAAAAAATAATAAACAAAACAAATGTTCTCTTCTATTAGTGGATAGACACAGATTCCAAATAAATCTTTTGTTGAACTTGTATTGGAAAGTTTTAAAAAGTCAAAAACCCAAAATGCATTATATATGTACATGTGAGGTATACATACATATGTATTTGTATGCATATTCATATGTATATTTATAAACACACATATATACATACATGTGAACACTCACATTCCGATTTACTATCAATTTTCCTAAGGTACCTGCAGAGTTACAAGACACATAGACTTTAAAATATCTTCACTGAAATTCAGTCATCTACTCTCTGTGAAACAAAATATCTACACACTAAATGTGGTTGCTATGTTTTAGGTAGGTTTTAGTTTTTTACCCCAAAGCTTCACATGTTGGAGGTTTGTTCCTCAGGCCGGTGCTATTAGGAGGTAGCAGAACCTTTTCTTAAAAATCTGTTTATTAGTGTGTTATATTTATACTTAATAGTATATTTCATTTTGACTCAATCATATATGCATGGCATAAAATACACTCCATTTTGATTCCCAGAGTCTCCTCTTTCCTCTTCTCCTCCCTCATCACAGCAATAGTCCTCAAAGGGCCCAGTGTCCAGGGTCTTCTGCTTCTTCTTTTCTTTCTTTTTTTCTTTGTATTTTGATTTTTAACCTGGGATTGATGCCAGAGGATTGTACCACTGAGCTGCATTCCCCGTCCTTTCTATCTTTCATTTTGAATTAGGTTTCTCAGTATGTTGCTTAAGTTGTTGGTTATCCTCCTGCATCAGCATCCTGAGCTTCTGAGATTACAGGTGAATATCAATAGACCCAGCCAGGGTCCAGATTCTTGAGGACCAGAATGAAGAAC